GAAGCCGGGCAGGAGGACTGCTGGAGGTCAGGAGTTTGAGGCCAGCCTGAACAAGAGCGAGACCCCGTCTCTACTAAAAAAAATAGAAACAAATTAGCTGGACAACTAAAAATATATATTAAAAGTTAGCTGGGCATAGTGGCACATGCCTGTAGTCCCAGCTACTCGGGAGGCTGAGGCAGGAGGATCGCCTGAGCCCAGGAGTTTGAGGTTGCTGTGAGCTAGGCTGACGCCACGGCACTCTAGCCTCGCCAACAAAGCAAGACTCTGTCTCAAAAAATTAAAAATAAAAAAAAACTTTAAAAAAACTTTAAAGCATACATGACACCCAGATCTCTTTAAACAATGCTGGTAGGAATGTAAATTGGTATAATCAACATGAAAACCTGCTTCAAGGTACAGTGGTATCTGTTGGATCTGGGAGAGCACAAGCAGCTGGGTGACCCATCATTTCCACTCCTGCATGGTACCCAATGGAGACACATTCCTGGATTCACCAAGGAGCATGCACAGGAATATTCGTGGATGTGCTAGTCATGATGGCAAAAAATTGGAACCCAGACACTGTTAAAAGTAAAATGGATCAGTAAACTATGGTGTGTTTGTGCAATGGAAAGCCAGACAGGAGGTGATTTAGTTTGAAGAGTGTCACTACCAAGACCACAAGGAACTACTAGCAAAGAGAAAAAGAAGTACAAATGGTCCTTGACCATATGAAGGGATATTCAACCTCACTCAAAAGAGAAATTAGAATTAAATTTACACTGAAATAACCTAGCTTACCTCTCATACTGGCAAAATTCCAAAGTTTAACACATTGACGTCACACCAGGAAAAAAAATTTTTTCCTTGGGGCCACAGTATTTTATTATGAAAATAGAACAAAAACTTCAAAAACAAAATGATCCCTTCTAATTTAATGAAAATTTTGTTATTTTTTATTGTTTTCTGTGTTTTTTTTCAATAAAAAAGTAATAATATAAAGACTTGAAAATTAGTAATGTAAAAAGTAATGTGAAAATTTGTATAATAGTTCTTAAGGATAAAGTATTTTTCTTGACTGGTCAGGCTTTAGCGCAATTTAAAGGTAAACAAATTGCAAAATGAAATTTATTGACTTCTATTCATTTAATCTACATTTTTAGAATTAAATTGTTAATATTAATTGTAACAATAAGAACATCAACAAGTAAGATTTTCATGAACCAGCTATAAGATTTTGCCCAGGTTTTGCTTCACGAGGCCCCGGATTCAAAACTAGCATGAGTTAAATACAACTTACATGGTAGTTAATGTTTAAAGCAAATTTTTATGGCCAGGCTGCAGAGAAGCAGGCATCTTCGTACATATCCTTGGGAGATACAAAAAGATAAACCCCCACAGAAGGTAATTTGGTCATACCAAAAAAAAAAAATGTTCAATTGTATTTATTTCTTGATACATCAATACCATTTCTAGGAATTATCCTATAAGATGTACATGCATATGTACAAAATGATATATGTATAAGATTATTCATTATTTGTAATTCAACAAGATTAGAAAGAAGTCTATCCATTAAACACTAATTAGATAAATTATGACATATCTATACAATGGAAGCTCTTTTCCCTGTAAAACACAATGCGGAAGTTCCCTAAATGTTGGTACAGAAGCAAATCTTGGGGATATACGGTCAAGTGAAAAAAATCAAAGGATAGAAAAATATAACAGGTAATTTGTGTAGAAAAAGGAGAAATGAGCAAATGCATATTCACGCTAGCTTGCATTTGGACACAAAATGAATACAAGTAGCTAACCACAGGGAACGATAAAAAAAAAAAGAAACGAGCAAAGAACAGAGTGCACAAGAGAAGGAACAAAACTTCTCAGTATCTATCTTTTTATATTGTTTTTTTTTTCCAACTAAGTATTTATTACTCATTTAAAAATGTTGCACTTAAAATTCATTTTTAAAAATCTAGCTAGGGAAATTAAAACAAACTCCCAAGTCTAATTACTTATTACTTTTTCCTCCCCCATTCCTCCCTTTGCACACGGGTTGCAAGGAACTCCCTTCAAAGTGTGTGTGTTGGTGGTGGGGGAGTGGTAATTGGCCTTTAATGCATTGCTCTTGACCTCTAGAGCCTCAGCCAGAGCTGACATGGATGGGCAAGTCTTATTTGAACACCTTGTTTCCTGGGGAAAGACAAACAGAACATAATCCAGGAAGAGACTACAAGTAAGGCAAAGGTAGTACTGGGGGTAGGGAGGAAGTAATTTCAGTTAATAAATTATTTAGGTATCTTTGTATATCAGTATTCAAATTTTATCTTGCCTTTTAAAACTGTCATAGTGGTCTATATTACAGCTAAATACTAATTTAACTTTTATTTATATTAAATTATATAAATTATATAAAATTTAAAGATTTGCCCCAGTGAAAATATTTGTGCATTTGTGAGTTTTTCTCTGGAATGAATTTTTAGAAGTAGCACTGAAGGTTGAAGGCAATGCACCTTTTACATTTTAATTAAATTTAGTGAATACACATTAAAAGGTTCAGTATATTAGTAGTTAAATACAAAATAAAATTAATTCCCATTTTCATTCATCTGTTTGGCAAAGATATTAACAAGAATGTGAATAAATACTGATATAAAAAGATCTCCAAATCATTTTGATAAATGAAAGAGCAAATTTCAGTAAAATTCATACAGAATAATACTATCTACGATTTTTTTTTTTAAATCAACCACCACAAAGCAAAGTGATTTATTTCAGTCTCTCTATGTATATATTGAGTTTAAGTAGGCAGAAAAAGTTCAGGAAAAACGCACACCAAAATAACCACTCTCCCTGGGGCAGAGACATCTGAAGCAGAAAAGGGGGAGGGGGTGAGTAGCCAAGGAGATCCTTTGATTTTTATTGTTAGAAAATTTAAGGCAAAGACAATATATACAAATACTACCTGTTCAATTGAAACAAAAATATTTATAAAAATTAGTCCATTAATTTGTTTGTAAACTTTTTAATAAACTAAATTGATTTCCAAACCTAACCTGTAATCATTTTTTTGTTTGTTTAATATCTTTCCTTGTTTAATATTTATTTTTATTTTAGCATATTATGGGGGTACAAGTGTTAAGGTTACGTATATTGCCCATGCCCCTCCCCCCCACTCGAGTCAGAGCCTCAAGCGTGACCATCCCCCAAACGTTGCACATATCACTCTTTGTGTTTGTATATACCCATCCCCTCCTTCTCCCTTAAAAGGTTTTATAGAGGCCATTATCTGTTTCTACTTGTTTATGCCCCATCCCATGTGAGGAAATTCAGCTGAATTTAATAGAAACTTGACGAAAAGGAAAAGGAGTCTAGAAAACATGCCACATGCATGAGTTAAATTTAACATGAAAAAAGTAAATCCAATCATCTAATGAAAGGATAAAATTATTGTACAGTATTAGTACTTGATGTCAAAGGTCCAGGAAAGAAACAGCTAGCTGAATTTTTATTCAACTTCTAAAACAGATTCACGCTTTAGAATTAAATTTCTTCTGCAGAAAGAGAGAATGGTGCTTTCTGAGTGGTGAATTTGGAAGGCTCACTGGTCAGGCTCTCTAAAAGGCTATAGAAACAGAGCTTCAAATTGGCAAGGATAAAAAAGGTATTAGTTCCGTGCCCCAGATTCTTATGCAACACAGCACAGAGTGTGCAGGGTGACATTTGCATAGCACCCTTTGGAAATGGGTGGGAGAAGGAAACAGGCCTGAGAGCTGCCACAGCCCTGGTGCTATGGATGTCCCAAAGACCAAGCACATCCAAGCACCCCTGTGACTTAGTCACAAGGGTACCTGTGTGTCCAGGAACACCTGCTGGGAAGATTGGTTTGGTTCAGCTTTTCACTAATTATGCATACTCCCTAAAAGCAGACTTTCTGGTTTGCTAGTAACAACAGCGAGTGATGATGGCTCATAATAATGCACTACTTCCTGTGACTGGACAGCAGATCAGAGGAAATCAAGGTGGTTTAGGACTATGTTATTTAGATTTAGTTCTTCATTAAAGACTGACTGGCCACTCTGGAGGTGCACTGTACCCGCAGACAGTATTTGAACTCCAAAAGGTCCTCAGACATCACCTGTACAAGATGACTAATTTTCTTGTTTGAAAACGAGGAGGACCTCTTCCTCTCCTCCCCTTCTGTGGACCTAGGTGTGCTCTCAAACTGTTCTTTTGAGACTACAAGACTACAAGTAGTGCAGCAACTAGTTCTAAAAAATCTTGCCATGATCATATTCAGTACCTTCAATAACAGCAAAAGTTCTCCACTACTTAAAATAGTATGTTCACTAAATAAAATGGTAGCAAGTTATAGTTCAGAAATACTATTGAGATTTAATAAACTGTTAAGTACAAAATGGGCCACCAATTAACATCTTTAAAAGTATACATAGTAATTTTTTCTTCTTAAAGAATTTATCATTTTTGGCCAGGCGTGGTGGCTCACACCTATAATCCTATCACTCTGGGAGCGCAAGGTGGGAGGATCACTTGAGCCCAGGAGTTCCAGACCAGCCTGGGCAACAGCAAGATCCCGTCTCTACAAAAATAGAAAAAATCAGCAGGGTGTGGGAGTGCACACCTGTAATCCCAGCTACTTTGGAGGCTGAGGCAGTAGAATCGCTCAAGCCCAGGAATGGGAGGTTGCAGTGAGCTATGATGATGCCATTACACTCTAGCCCAGGTGACAGAACAATACTCGGTCTCGAAAAAAAAAAAAATTATCATTTTAAGGCATCATGGATTCCACAGTATGCAAACTCTAATAAGACATAAAAATATGAGTATTAGAGCCAAAACAGCATAAATGACAGATATTACCACCCATGGAACACAAAAAAATTATCACTTTGACAGCTCAAACATTGGTCTTTTAGGATCTCATCTTTAACAACATTTCATAACATATAAAATTCATTTTATAGATGAGAAAAAGAAATTTGAACTTATAGTACCTGGTAAAAGTTGGGTTGTGTTCAGTCATTGCAACTAGCAGTTTCAGAGCATATGCTGGTACTGGGTCAGGCTCCATGAGAATGTGCTCATACCTGAAATGAAATGATGAAGACATTTTTAAAAACACTCATGGTCAGGTATGGTGGTACACACCTATAGTCCCAGCACTTTGGGAGACTGAGGAAGGAGGATTGCTTGAGGCCAAGAGTTGGAGACCAGCCTGGGTACGAAACATAGTGAGACCCCATTTTTACAAAAAATAGGAAAATTAGCCAAGCATGGTGGCATGTGCCTATAGTCCCAGCTTCTCAGGAGGCTGAGGCAGGAGGATCACTTGAGCCCAGGAGTTCCAGGTTGTAGTGAGCTATGATTACACCACTGCACTCCAGCTTGAATGACACAGTGAGACCCTATCTCTAAAAAAAAAAAAAGTCAGTTTTCCTCTTAGATGCTACCCTGAACAAAACAATATACCATAAAATGCAAACATCTAAAAAATATATAGATACTGAAATAAACTTATGAGTTAATAGGGCTTGCACAGGTACCTCATGAAGCTTCAAACAGCTTCACTTGCCAATGGTGATGATAGTACTGACCTACCTCATCGGATACCACTGTTGAGAAGATTCAATGAGAAAATCCATGTAAAGCAATTAGTATTGAACTGGGCATGTAGTAAGAGATCAACAAACATTAGGCATTTGTGTTGAGTGGCTCCAACACCACCCTTACATTCAGAGATTCACTACAGAACTCACAGGACTCAGCATGGGTCATACAGAAACTCACGGGGCTCAGCATGGCTAAGATGTAGCATAGCAACAAACACAGCAAGGATGCACCACTGAATCATACAGGAAAATGACACAGGCAGGAGCCTGGAGAATTCCACGTACAGGTTTCCTTATGCTCTCTCCCCCATGAGGGGCTACAAACAGCACACTCTTTCCCCAGCAATGAAAATGCAGCACAGCACCTCTGCGTGAAGCCCATTAGAGAGTCGGTGACCAGGGTCTTCACTGGGGGCTGGTCATCTAGGCAACCTCTGCCTAACATGGATCAAAATTCCAGACTCTCAGAAGGAAAGCAGGGATTCAGCATAAACCAGACTGTTTGTGCAAGTAGTTGAGGCACAGTGACCTCCTCTTATTAGGTAAATGTTAACTGGAAGCACTCTGAGAGCAAGTTCCAAAATGCTTAGCCATGGGCCAACCTTGCAAACAGGACTTTTTTGAGATAGGTTCTCACTCTGTCCCCTAGGCTGAAATGCAGTGGTGCCATCATAACGCACTGCAGCCTCAAACTCCTGGACTCAAGTGATCCTTCCACCTCAGCCCCTAGAGTAGCTGGGACTACAGGGCAAGCACCACCATGCCCGGCTAATTTCTTTTTTTTTTTTTTTTTAAGGGATGGTGTCTCGCTATGTTGCCCAGGCTGGTCTTGAATTCCTAACCTCAAGTGATCCTCCCACCTTGGCCTCCCAAGTAGCTGGGACTACAGGTGCATGCTACCGCACCTGGTGCAAACAGGACTTTTTAAGGATAGCAGTTTCAGGCCTGCTATGTTAACTTTTTCTGCATAGCATTCTTATTAATACTTAAAATCACAAATTAATATAACCAAAAAGAATAAAACTCAAAATGTCTTTATCAAAAGTTTCTACAACAAAATTCAGACTGCTCTCCCATGTTATTTGCTAAGCAGAGGCTGGTTTATATACTATGTCTTATTTATTTAGGTCCAGCCATCCAGTATACAGCACTATGTAGATGCTCCGTGAGCATCAAGTGAATGAATGAACAAACTAATCTACTTTATGACTTAATTCTCTTCAACAGTCAACAACTAAAAAGGGAGAAAAATATCTCTGAAAATCCAAAATGGATATTTAAAAATCTGTAACATGAAACAGATGCTTTTCATCTAGAGAACGGGACCCCAGGCTCTTACTCACAGCTTATTTAGTCTCATTTTGAAAATCATGACATAACAAGCTTAATTATATAGCCTGTAAGCCCACAGCCATTAGAAAGGAGCCAAGTAAAGGGAGAAAAGTGATTATTACAGAAAGGCAACTTAAGAATTACCAGAAGTGGGACTTGAAAGTACAGGAACAACAAAAGAAAGCAATCCTAAGAAATCTAGAAAGCAGTCTGTGGAGCATTTAGTATAGAGTAAGAGGTTGCTCATACCCCAGTGGAGGCTGAGAGCCCACCATACAACATAATGTTCAAAATGGGAATCGTGAGTCAAGAACATGTTAAGTTGGGTACAGTGTTCTGCTTAAGAAGCCAGGAAGTACCATACCTTTAGCAAGTTTGCTAAAATTTTTAAATTATACCAGTTAAAAGATTTGCCCAAGTATGACAAGAAAATGACATATTAAAAAAATACGACATAACCAAGTATGAGTAACTTCAAAACTGGAAAACATCAACATTAGGAAATCAGTTAATATATTTTATCATATGAATAAAACAAAAATCAAGTAAATATCTTTAGAAGGGATGAAAATGTATTCGATAAAATTTAATATCCAATTCAAATTTTGTTATAAAAGGAACAACTTCTAGTTCTTTGAGGTATCTCCATATTACTATCATTTGATCCAGCAATCCCATTACTGGGTATATACTCAAAGGAAAAAAAGACATTCTATAAAAAAGACATATACACTCGAATGTTTATAACAGCACAATTCACAATTGCAAAGATGTGGAAACAACCCAAGTGCCCATCAATACATGAGTGGATTAATAAAATGTGGTATATGTATGCCATGGAGTTCTATTCAGCAACAAAAAACAACGTTGATCTAGCACCTCTTGTATTATCCTGGATCCAGCTGGAACCCATTCTACTAAGTGAAGTATCCCAGGAATGGAAAAATAAGCACCACATGTACTCACCAGCAAATTGGTTTTAATGGATCAACACCTAAGTGCACATATAGGAATAACATTCATTGGGTGTCAGGCAGATGGGAAGGGGGAAGAAGGGATAGGTATATTCACACCTAATGGGTGCGGTGTACATCATCTGGGGGATGGACACGCGTGAAGCTCTGACTGTGGTGGGGCAAAGGCAACATACCTAACCTAAACATTTGTACCCCCGTGATATGCTGACATAAACGAAAAACAACTTAGTATACTAGAGAGAGATCATTAGTTCCTTTCTCTGACTACACATTCTTATGAAATAAAAATCTCTTACTATCCTAAGTCCAGGGTACCCAAGAATATTTTCCAGTTCAATGATTTGCTAGGACTCACAGAGCTCAGAAAACTTGTTATACTCGCAACTGTGGTTTATTACAATGAAAGGATACAGATTAAAAATCAGTGAAGACAAAAGGCACATACTGCAGAGTCCAGAAGAGACCAGACACAAGCTTCCAGTTGTCCTTTCCCAGTGAGCTGTACAAACAGTGCTTCGTCCATGTGTGACAACACATGTGAGGTACAGCCAACCAAACCAAACAGCCCCCCCGAGCCTTGGCGTCCAGGGTTTTTTACTGGGGGTCAGTCGCATAGGCATGGACGGCTTGTGAGCTAACTTTAGGGACTCAGGCTCCAGCCCCTCCAGAGGTCAAGCTGATATGCCATGGCTCCAGGCCCACCACAATTCACAATATTAGCATAAATTACCAGGCATGGCTGAAGGCCCTCAGGTATACAAAGACACCCTTATCTGGTAGGATATTCCAACTACTTATAATTTCTCTCCCCCAGAAGGCAGTCAAGGGCCAGTTTCTTTAGAACAGGCAGGGTTTAACACCCCACACCTGCTGAGCAAACTTTTTACTGAGAGGCACTGCCATCCATTAAAGTCGGAAGTAAGAGAAGAATGCCCTCTTCCACTGCTTGTCCAAAGTTTAGAAATTGTCTGGCCAGGGAGTCTCAAATTGAAGTGAGGGTGACAAGTTCCTGATGAGTTCATTACATACTGTGGAAAACCAGCTCCTGAAGGAAGGAGCCACAAGCTTATGAATTTTTAAAAAGCTTCCCAAGTGATCTTCTTACTCACATGCTTGTGTGGAAAGCAAGAGAAAATATGGACAACTATTTAGAAATATAATAGAAAAATGTCCTCAATAGGGCTGGAAAATATATTTTAAAAATCGACTTAACTGAAACAGGTAGCATCTACATGCAAGAAGAAAATACTGCTGAAACATTCCTGACTGAAATAAAAGTGTCTTGAGATCATGTGAGGTCATCTAACCTTGAAACAGAAGGAAAGAATGAATCTTGTACTAGCCTGTGCATGGGAATTTTCTCAAAGAATATTGTTCTATTTTCCTCCTGTCGGGAAAGAAAAAAAGGGGGTAAAACTCATAATGGATATGTTTAGAATACAAATATTGAATATATTCTAGTTTAATCAAAGATAGGTTTGTAATGGTCAACAAGATCTAGCCAAAAGTATGTTGTGATTTATTAAGCTTGTCTTCTAAGGGGAGATAGAGCAGCTAAGCTGGTAGTACCGAATTTCTCCGAAAATAAGACAGGGTCTTATATTTATTTTTCCTCAAGAAGATACCCTAGGGCTTATTTTCAGGGATGTGTTATTTTTTTTAAGCCAGGTACAACAATCTACATTTATTCAAATATAGTTAAGTCGTCTTCTTCTGGAACATCATCCGAATACCATCCTGAATTTCTTACAACTCTATTTCCTTTAGAACCATTGGCCCCAATCTCTCATGTGAAGCAACAGATCTCTCATCGGGCAGATAAGAAGGGCTGCTCGTCTTCTACCACTGGGCGACGAAATGCACGGGTTGTGCAGATGCGCTGCGTAGCCACGCCCATCACTAGGTCTTATTTTCGGGGTAGGGCTTCTATTGCGCACATGCTTAGAAATCCTGCTAGGGCTTATTATATCGGTAGGTCTTATTTTCGGGAAAACATGGTAGTAACTGGATTCTGTACTCCCCTGAATGCAATTCTGCAGGGAAAAAAAAAGTGATGAGCCCTCACTCCTGAAATGGCCTCAGAAGAGTGCCCGGTGAACGGCTGGCCATTTTGATGGACGGAGCAAGAGAGGAGCACTCCAAGTGCGGGAGCCTGACCGCAGATTAACA